TTAAATAATTTATATAATATATTTTTTAATATAAGTATATATTAATTTATACAACTCAACCAGCCTATAGTTTTGTTTCTTAATTAGTATTATATTTATTATAATTTTTTTGAGAACGTTTTTAAGACATAATATATATTTTATTAAAATTTGTAAGTATGAAATATATATATATATAATATGAATATTTTTAAAAAAAATCAATAAAAACTAAGTAACACGATTTAATTAATAATTTACCATTTTGACTTATGACTCATTAATCTAGTAACTTAACTAATTTTATAATCGATTTGAATTTTAAAACATAATTTATACCAATAATATAGTTAGGAAATGTGGATGCGGTTCACGGATGCTCTGGATGGTGGAATCAACATGTTCGCCATGTCCTGGGAAACGGTAAGCAGACTCGATTTTCGAATGACAGGTGGATCGGTGAAACTCGTTTTTGTGATGAGTTTAGTCGCCTTTATGGAATCTTGTTAAACAAAAATGACTCGGTAGAAGAAATGTATGGGGATGGTTCAAAGTGGCGGGGGGGGTGGAGGCGCCCCCCTTTTGCATGGGAAGAGGAAAAGTTGGTTGAGTTGGCTAATAGGTTGGCCTCGGTAGTTTTGACAGTGGCTCACCTAGATGAATGGCGTTGGTTAGCCGAAAGGTCAGGGAAATATTCGGTGGCATCTGCTTATAAGATTTTAGCAAAGTCAAACCTTGTTCAAGTAGACACTTTTTATGATACGATTTGGGCCAAAGGTATCCCTCCTAAGGTTCAAGTTTTAGTGTGGCAGTTGGAAGCAGACAGGTTACCTACCCGGGATAACCTCCTTTTGAGAGGGGTTACTCTAGAAGGACAAAATGGTTGTGTTTTTTGCGAAGAAGGCTTGGAGTCCAGCAAGCATTTGTTCCTCTTGTGTCCAAAGGCTTATGCTGTTTTGGTCAGATTATACGCTTGGTGGGGAGTGTCAGGGGTGCTTATCAACGAACTTAGGAGTTTTTGTCATCAATATATGGGATTGGTGAGTGGCAGTAAGGGTATTAAGCGAGTTTGGTCCTTTGTTTGGTTTGCAGGTATATGACAGTTATGGAAGGCTCGAAATGAGAACATTTTAAAAGACAAACTCTTTAAGGTGGAAGAGATCGTGTTCATGGCACAGTTGAGATCGTGGGAGTGGTGTACGGCTGCTAGAATGGTGTCTTCTTCTTTTCCAGAATGGTTGATGAACCCATTGTCCTGTACAAGTGTCCCTTAAATCTGATTTTTCTTATTTTTGGGTCATCTGGTTTATAATTATGACTTGCACTACTTGTGCACAATTTTCTTGGGATTAATAAATTCTTGGCTTATCAAAAAAAAAAGTTCTTTGATTTTAGAACGTATGAATAAATAACTTAAAATCAAAATATTATTTAATAAGTTATTATGTAATAAAAATTTATGTTATAATTATTTAAAATTTAATAAGTATATACATGTACAGTTATACTATTTTAAATATTTAAATGTATAGTACTTATAAAATGTCTAATTCTAAAAATTAAATAAATTACAAATTAAATTTTAACTAAAAATAAAAATAATATTAAAAGATAACTAAATAATTTTTAAAAATGACATTATATATCACAATAATATTAAAAATAATAAAATATTACTAATCATCATTCACCTAATTTAAAATTTATAAAAAATAATAATAATAATAAAATATGATAGATCAATTATATGTATAATCATAATTAAAAATTGTGTCACAAATTTAAAAATTAAAAATCAGTTACATATATATTCTATAAAATTATGATTAAAAAAATTTATTATACAAGGAAATATGAATTTTGGCTGTGTAAGTACAATATCCTCTACTCCACTAACTATCATTCATAAATTATCATAAACCAATATTAAAGAACTTTCTAATAAAACAAAATTTCATTCATAAGCATTATAAAAAAGTTTGTAAGACCATTTCTCTAGATAAAGGACTTGCATTTGTTTTCAAAATAACAATTTCTTAAATAAACTTTAAAATAAATAGACATGAATAAATAATAACTGAAATTGAAGTAGCATTCAAACCATTGCAAAACTTCAAAGATCTAACAAAGGTTTCTAAACAAGTATACAAGTTTTAATTAATATAAGATTTCAAAAAAACATAGAACATAAATCATAAATTCTAAATATATTTTATTTCACTTTTTATCAAATCACAACCCATATAAGCACTATGAGTTCTAAGCCCCATTACTAGCATTATCATCTTTATGATCATCACTTGCAAAACATACAAAAAAAAAAAAAAAAACCCAACACAAAGTAGGGGAGTGAAATACTTCTCAATTTGACTCGTGTGAGATAATGTCAGATAGTTAGCCATACACATAAACATTGCATATAAAATACATCAAAAATACCAAGACCGTAAACAACACAACACTATTCTAAGTAATAGCATGGACATAGCAACATAATCATAAACAATCTTAAATCATACATTTGATGCAATAGATGTAGACTCACTAACTTTATATGCTTGTGATACCAATAAAACACATTACTTATAGTCAAAAGGCTAATAGGGTAGCCTAGGATGACACGCTAGTGGCTGATCCACCTCACTATTCTACATTAGGAAAAAATACACCAAGACAAGTTAGCGTAGGTGTCGCACAATTTATACCTCATGCACACAAATGGACAAAAATTGGGGCTTCTAAACCTTGGATGTCCTAAGGTCATGAATCCCCAACTCATAAATGGGACCTTCCTTTTCATGTATTCCACATTATATCTCATCTTAAAAACATTTTATTCACATATTGCATGTCATATACAAGATTCTATGCAATATTTTACATCATATATTCACCACATACTTATGGCATTCACATATTACATCATCATGGCTAGACACACATGCCCAAATTTACTCATGGCTAAACCCTTAACTTATACTTAACATCATATCTGTTAGAAAAGAATGACACAATCCAAGATGGGGGGTGAATTGGATTCTATGACCCTTTAAAAAATTTCAAAGTATTTAGGATCTTTATTTCACTTAAACTTTTCTAAGACTGAATTTTCAAATGAAGCTTCTTTAAAGACTTGTTATGGAAGAATGAATTCTATATGCTTTCTTGATTACAAAATAATGAGGTTCAAATGTAATGCTCTAATTCATATTAAACCATCAATATTCACACACACATGTTAATCAAGAATTATCTTCTTTAATGTCCAACCAAGATATTACTTAAAGTAAAAGATAAAGGTAGAAGAAGATTCCACAAGTCTTTTATACTGGTTCAGCCACTCCACATGTGACCTACATCCAGTCCTCAATCAGCACCTGATCAAGATTTGTTCCACTATCTCAATGAAGAAGGTTTACAAGCACACCACACATGCATATACTTCAACACTAAAGATAACCACTTTCTTGACCCCAAGAAAGCACCCCTTGTAGAAACCCACTACAAGAAACCTTACCACTTGAGAAACCCTTCTCAAGATTTTACAAGTATTCACACAGAATAAAGGAACGAATTCACCTGGAATTCAGAAGCAAATCCTAATCTTCCCTTTTCAAGAATGTTGTGATGATGATGATCCTCTAACAAAGTTTTTCACAAACGTTTTTACTCTTGGATTTCACAAAGAAAACTCTCCAAGATGGTCACAAAGACTCCACAAAAACGCTTTTCTCAATTTGATTATCAGTTCTAACTCATGTCTGAAGTTTCTAAAAGTTCAAACTATTTATAAAAGTCTCAAACCCAGATAATCGATTATTTTAAAGAATAATCGATTATTTTGTTCTTCAGGTTTTCTGGAAACCAACCAAGAACAATATAATCAATTATTTTGCTGGATAATCGATTATTCCAGAGAGTTATTTCTAGGATAATCGATTATTTTGGCAAATAATCGATTATTGCAGCAAGGCATCCCATTTTGCCCGTTGCTGGAATAATCGATTATATTTAACGATAATCGATTATTTTGAGTTAGTTTTTAAAACTTCGTTTTAAGTCTCAAAATAACTTTCCAATCTTTTAACTCATCATCATACACTCTCTACTTAGCTTAGATATAGATTTTGCTCATGCACACAGCATACGCAACAAACTAAATCATTCAAAACAATTTATACACTAATCACTATTACATAACATTTTCTTTGACATTTTCTTTGACTTTGTTTTTGTGCTTCTAAGTTGTTGTTGTTTTTTGTAGTTACCCTTGACACACATCTTGTGATCATCAAAACTCCTTTATGCTTCAAGCTCCTCTAAGCTCAACAATATCTCCATTACATATACCATATACAAACACATCATGTTATCATCATGTACACATCAATTAACCAATTAAGATCATCAAATATCCACCTTAACTACACACGGGATTCATCACTTAATCATTATTGTATCATCGTTGATATCATGAATCATAATCCTAAGCCAAACACCATCAAAGTACCTCAAATAAAGTTATTATAGAATCATTCAACACCACCATAATTATAAATCATTAACTTAATTATTTTTACACCATTACTAATACTAAGATTGTATTCTTAAGCTAATTATCAACAAGTTGTCTCAGATTCACAATTATATACTCATCCCATTAGCATTTTGATCATGTACTCCATTATCTCCTTATAATTACTTTGATTTCAACATCACTAGGTCACACTTAGCTAAGCATCTTGATCCATCACTTAACTACTATCACATCAACACTAATATCATCAACACTAATATCAAGATTCATGTTCCTAAGCTAATTACCACCAATTTACCTCCAAACCTCAAATTATAAGTCCTCAAAATATGTGTAAAATGGTGTCTAATAAGGCTTTGTGCCCAATACAAAACCCACAAAATGTACATGTTCTCTAAAGGTATCAAACTTGACATGACCATGCTCACACATAGTGTGACCAACACCACGCCTGACGCACTAGCCTTAGAGAGTAGCCTATGTTCTTTGATGTTCACACGCCCACTGCTACTTAGGTGGTGCCTAATGCAACGTCAATTTCTCGTAGGCTTATAACACCTACGAATAAATCAATATTTTTTAAAAATTTATTAAGTATATGTAAATAACTATTCAAAAATAATCTCATTATATGATAACTATTTTAATTTATGTAGAGAAAATATAAATATTAAAATTAACTAATATTTTAGGATAATTTACATGATAAAATTTTATTTTATATAACTAAAAATTATAATAAATATTTATTTTAATTATGTTATAACTAAGATTTGTAATAAATAATTTTTCAAACATATAAATTTATTTAAATAAAATAGTGTTTTTTTAAATATTTAAATATACTATAACTAAAGTTTA